GTATTACATATAAGTACGAACCTCACATATGCACCGTGCAAAAAATAATACTGACACTAAACTTGGATCAAAATTCAAACGGCACTTTAACAAAACTTTCACTATTACACTTCGTTTTATGTCCTATGACATTGCACAAATCACTTTCCTAAACTAATGTAACATATATAACACTTTAAACAAAAACTTTTTTGTTACATACAGCTTATATTTGTCGATTTATTTGGATGTAATTATTTTTGAGTTTCCGAGACGCGCTTGCGCCAACCGACAGACCAAGACTGCCTTGAAATGAGGTGAGCACATGGCTCGACGCGCCGGGCGTACATTAAGAAGTTAACTGTGGGTAGGATTGCCACAATATTATTTAAAAAAATATCTAGTTGCTGATATATGATATTTTATGAAAAATCAAAAGAAAAAAGAATATGAACAAGTCGTGCATGAACTTCATTCTGATAGTGTGTGAAAATGTATGATTAAAGATAACAATTGATAAAACATAGTATTTTTTAATTTTGCTAGTAGGCTATTTATATTGCAATTGAATAATGTACATACATAATGTGTAATGTATGTTGGTATATTATAGACCGAGTGGCAACCCTAATCGTGTGTATTTAATTGTACCTAATGTGTTTATGTATACGCTGTAGGACTAATAAATTGAATGTATTAATGGAAGAAATAACATCTAAAATGTATTAAATAATAGTACATTTGTATAGTGCAGACACTTACTGTATTGCAACTCCATGATTGAAGTTACGAGCAATAAATATTAATTTTCATTGTTTTTGATCGCGTGATCCAAATAGGAAAAAACGTTAAAGAATTTATCGCATCTCAATACCATCTATATATAATTAAAATTGCATCGCCAAATGTGTTACTAAACGCAAAACTCGAAAACCGCTCGACCAATTGGGCTAATTTTTTTCACACATTTTCGCTAAGGGCTAAGAGTCTAAAAAATGCGAAAGATACAGTAAAAACACACACTTTTCTTTTCCCATACAAACCAAATTAATTAAATTAAAATACTTTCACACATTCAATCAAAACAAATCATCACAGCAGAACGAAGTCTGTCGGGCAGCTCTTTTCGAAGTAAACTTGTGACAATAACTGTCGAGTCCTGACAAGATGAACCGCTCCTTGAAAAGCGGCCTCTGCTAGAAACTAAGTAGTAGATTACTCGTACTAGATCTTGTAATTTTTACGAATACATTATAAATACATAGGTATATAATATATGGCGTACAATGACGCAATACCCGTATACACGTCAGTATTATCAGTGGGAAGTAAATAGTTTTAAGTAAACATAAATTACTAGTTGATGGACAGTAGACTTTTGTATCGATCAATGTAATTGTCTATGGACAGCTTAATGGTATTACATATTATACCCATTCCTATATTTTCGAAGGGGTAGGTAGATCTATAATATTTAATTAATGAAATTAATATTAACTTTACACATCTCACTCATGGCCCTCTGATCTTAAACTAGGCAGAGCCTATACTATGATAACCAGACTTCGTTTTTTCATGGTAAGTAACTACCGCCGCCCATGAAAGTAGCGGCTGCTCCAATCCATACTCATATTATAAGTGTGAAAGTGAGTTTATTTGTTTGTTACGCTTATCGCCAAAACCATATGAAAAGCTACATTATCAGCAGTAACATGACTACCGAAAACCAGCATACACAAAGGCGAAGCCGTGGGCAAAAGCTAGGTTTAAATTAAGGTACTGCTTGTTAGGTTTTTGTTATAAGCAGCCAGCAAAAGTACTTCTGATCACTTGTAGTAATCAAAGTGTAAACAAAGTATTATAGAATATTATCTTTGTCCGTACAAATGCATAGAAGTATCATAAAAACAACCTCTAGTCCCGGATAATGACCGGAAAAGGATCATTAGTTGACACATGACATTGGAACGATTTGATTGTTTTTTAATAAGTGTAGTATAAGTGTATTAAAGATAATGATATGTGGTCCTAAACTGAATTTTAGACAGTAGAGAAGATACTAGAGTATCTACAATGATGCTAATTGTGCATAATGCTAAATATCCTTGTCATTTTGTTTGCAAAAATCGTTTGACTGTTCTTTGAGTTGACTTAAATAGGTATACGTTTCTAGAGATTAAGAGTATCTTTCATGCAGTAAAATAATGTTGGACTTGTCTATTCCCTACCTACATTTAACGGGACTGTTGATCTAGTGATTGGTGACCCTGACTGCTAAGCTAAAGGTCGTGGGTTCGATGCCCATCCAGGACTAATAGTTGTACTATGAGCTCGTTGTTGTGTGACTGAGTGTAATTTATCTTTAATGTGTGTGTATTCGGCAATATATAAGTGTTTCATCATCATTATCATCATCAACAACCTTTAATAGTCCACTGCTGGGCATAGGCCTCTCCTTAGAAAGGAGGTTTTGGCCTAGTATACCACGCTGACCAGACGCGTTGGTGTACAGTTTGTTTCAAGTTTTCCTTCTCTTTGCAGTACCCCTTAGTCAGCTCATACGACACCCACGGAATGAATAGGGGGGGGGGGGGGGGATAAGATGAACACGTAAACACAATAATAAATACAACTCACATATATGACCGCACCTTTACAATTAAAAGGTACCTGTTTACCAGAAATAACTTCCCCTTTCAATAATTGTAACAACACACCTAACCTACATTACGTCAGTATTGTTGGTCATAGACCAGTCTATTGTAGTCCAGTTATCTTTACGAAATCATCCTTACATTGTGTATGTCACGAGTACAATATGTGATATGTACCTCATATATTGTACTTGTGACACACACAATGTTAGGTTTGGTTCTCTGCTATGATGTATATTCTCGTAAATAAGGCTACTATACAAGTATATGTATCAGGCTAGGGTTGAATAACTATCGATAGTATTGCTGTCGATAATTTTAATGTTATAACTATTTTTTATAGTATTGAGGGCAAATGAGTAGACATGCCAACTACCGCTGGTCATAAACTCCTTCAAATCAAGAGTCATAACTACGTTGCCGCCCTATAAGTGCCCTAAGAGAATTAGGCTTCTATAACCTCAATCACACGGCGAAGAGCAATAGAAGAAATGCTTAACACCGGTATTCTGTGAGGCCGTGGTTTCGACCATTCTTACTGCACTGATGGCGTAGTGGTTTAGGCGGTCGCCACGACGCTTACCACCAAGCTGAGTGTTGTGGGTCCGATCCACACATCATTGTTGTTCTAAGTATGGGTGTTCTTTGTGTCCGTTTCATGTATGTTTGTAAAGTCCCTCGCGGCACAGGATATATTCCATGACTGCAACGCACTTATGTCTTTTGAATTGCAGATGAACATGGGCGTGGTGATCACTTACCTTCTGCTACTTTGCCCCGTATATCCCCCATAAAAAATAATTAAAGAGGTGGTCCGAGGTAAGTCAGCTATTTCAGGAACCACAAGTTCACCAAAAATACTTACGATAGGCCATTTATGAAGGAACGTGTTTGGACTATACAGTATATATCTCGTAACCGAGTGAAGTGGAGCGTTAACCATAAAATTTTAACGTTGTTGTACCGCCAGCATAGTTAATAATTCATAAGCATTTAGGGAATTTATTGTTATACCGTTAAGGGGCTAAACAAGTAATCCGCATAATGTTAGTAAGTTATTATACTTATTAATGTTGCATATCCGAGGATTACTGTCGAGTGACACTTGCTTTATTAAGTAGTTTGTCGTCAATTCTAGTGTTTGAAGGCCGAGTGCAAGTTTATTTTACATCGACTCGATGGCGACTGCGTTTCGCGTTGCCATTGGTGGAGATTTCAGTGCGAACCAATCGTAGCGCCGAACGCAGTAACCGTGACGATCGAGTAGAAGTGTAATAAACTCGCAATTGGCACTCCGAAACCAGGAATAATTTTAAATATAGGATTTAATCCGGGGATTCCATTGGATGTAGTAAATTGCCTTGTTTTTGGATACTGCTGACTGTGACGACTTCCCCATACAATAAAACAAAATAATACATACTTCAGCGCCATCTAACGAAAAAACACTGAACTACGGTGTAACTGCTAATCCTGTATCGCGATATGAAAATTTCTGACGGTGATTAGTACTCGTATATGTATAACTTCCCAACATCAACCGTTGTGCCGCGGCCCGCCGGGCATGATCACCTAACCTAGTCAGAGGATGCTTCCTTTGTGTTGGAGGGCCTTGACACTCGTTCCTTCACACTGGCATACTTTATAACAGTCTTATTCTTATTAAAACAAAAAAAAAACAAAAACGATTAAGACTTTTACACTTACATGTATCATTTTTGTATCCACCATAATGGCCATGCTATAATAGCCACCACTATAGCCACGAAAAAGAGATTGTGATATTTTATGGACAGGTTTTTCATTTTCTGAACCTGATATCCTTAGATCTCATCATTGACGAGAGGTTATTACTTTTATCTGTATGCAAAATTTTAATCTGTATTTCCTAATAGCAGCCTCAATTAAGAAGTTAAATGAACCATTTTGCTTCTGAAAATAATTTCGAGTTAGTAGCTTTGTTTTGTTGTGGAAACTAGGAACGCTTTTTGGTATAAATGAACCCTTCGTTAACATTTAATGGGGTTATTTATTCTTATCTCTTTTAAACACTATCTACAACATTTCATTTGAATTTTGTTTGCATAATTTCTCAACGTTTACATATATATCTATTTATTATAATAGTTTATCTATGTGTCTATCTAATGTCTGGTTTTTCTGATATAGCTTAAGGAGACCATGGGCAATATTTTTAAATTAGTTTAGTTAGTTTACGTCAGTTGATTTTATTGTGATACAATGTAAACTACTAATAAATCTGCAGAGAAAGGTTAGTTTTAACAACGTTATACAACAAATCATAGTTTTAAAAGAGTATGAGAAAAGAAATGTCTTTAAATAGTATCTTTTATTTGCCTCGGTCCATTAGGATCTACCATCTCGATCCACCAGTGGATCGAACAGCACTGGGTGGATAGTATAAGTAATCTCCTTAGTCTGATAATTAAAGAAATATATAAGGTAGTTTTTATTGAGTGAAAATGAAGAATGAAGATCTCGACGAGACCTATCATTTACCGAACTTGAGTAGGCTATTTAGTTTCCGAGATAATGTCGTTTTGCTTTTTTGTCAATAGCCAAAAGATTTGCGACCGGCGATCCCTTGGCGTTACGTAAAGATGTAGCTTCGCTCTGCATTCTCTATCGTATATATCATGGAGAGTGCTACGAGTAATTGTTCGGACTAATACCGGCCACAACCTTCCGCCATCGTTCCACACGGCGAAGTGTTCATCCCCACCACTTAGATAATTGGCGCTCCACCACTGTGCGCTTTCAAGACACTTTTTGCCTCGCACTACCACCCTGTTAAACAAGGTATCGCCTGCGGTATTTCCGGACTGATACAACTTTCAAGAAAAGAGCGTACTCCTTCCTCAAAGGCTGGCAACGTGCTTGTGATTCCTGAGTGCAGGCGTTCATGGGCGGCGGTAGTCGCTTTCCATCAGGTGACCCGTCTGCGCGTTTGTATTCCATAAAAAAAACAATCTTAATAATTGGCACGTACTTGCTGCATACCAGATATTTTTGAAATAAAAACGTGGACATTCTATCAACCCCACTCAAAAAAAATTGTTCTAGTTTTGTCACTAGATGGCGTGTCACGTAGAATAGGTTGGATATCATAAGCTAGAGAAATTTATATGTTAAAAATGAGCTTTTTGATAAGCTATAAACGTACATAGTTTCATTCATATCAGCCCTCTTACAAAACATTAGCTTTACCGGTTAATTTTCAAGTTTAATTTACCAGTTTTCGTTCGTAATGCATAAAGTTAATTTTAAAAATACACTTCACATTTACGCGGTATGAATGACTCTAACATAGGAGCATAAATTTATGTAACAACCTGTACACATAAAAAATGGATGTCCATATTTACGATATCAGTAAATTCCCAACCCTATTTGACTGATCACTATGAAAACTTGCACAACTGAGTGTTTTTCCGTGTCGATGGCTTTTTATTTTTCTTTTTATGGCTTTGTTTCAAAAGTTGATAAAAAAGCTCGTAAAAGAAATACTCTTGATAGAAATACTCTAAGACTCTATATTTAAGAATGAAGAGTTTATTGTAAATTTCAAAATTTAAATGTTTAAACGAATAATCCTATAATCCTATTACTCTTAAGCATATATATTTTGTTTTTTTTTTAATCTTTTTTAGCAAGTTTAGGAGGGCCCTGTTTCGGCACACTGCGCTGACTCGACCGGAGTTATACAATGGCCTCGCAGACAACCGCCATTCAATAATTATTTCGCAGTTCTTTCACCGAGTTAGTAAGGTTACCAGTGTTAAAATAAAATTAAAAGCTTTCCTTTACGACAGATTCCTTTATACTATTGATGAATTGTAACAAGAGAATGAATTTATCTGAATTAAATTATCCAAAATACGTATATTAAAATAACCAGTGACATTATATTATTTGGACATTTTTAATTAAGTATTACTCTTATATTAAAATGACTGATTCAAAATGTTAATGATGTATGAATGATAACTATGTTAATGATGACAAAATTATGTTTAGTAGGAAGTGGCGAGGTGTCCGCTTAATCCACTACGCCATCTGTGCCTTATTTTATTATTTATTTATAATGTTTTACAGCCACTCGAATAGTTGTTGTCATATTAATTATTAATTAACTATATTTTAATTATGTTACTGGTACTTCTATCTATTCTGTGTTGTTTAACTCCCAAAGTGTCAGGTTAATATCAATAGTGATATATGACGTAAAGTGGGAATAAAGTAATATTCAAAATGTTCACGTTTAATACTGTCTTCTGTCTATAACTCAGAAATTAAATAAATATTTACACACACTCACCATTCCCAGAATAAACATAATCCCTCTGTAACCATTTTATTACTGCTCTTACATGAAAACCTTTTTTTAAGTATAAGAGCTCCATTTAACCGTTTAAATAAACCTACATATTATTACAAGTTATTAAGGTTCCTAGAGCGAATAAAAAAAATCGGAATATTAAAGGTATAGAATATGGAATATGAAAAGTATAGAATAAATACGTGTGTGTACAGTCGCTACAAAAAAAATCGAAGTAGAACCGTGTCGTAGTAGACTTAAGTCGAGCCCCCCTAGTTTGGGAGGCTCGGAGGATAATGATTCTAACGTGAGTAAAAGAAGGTGGGACATGACATGAATATTTCCAAATACATGTTATTTTTGTCACACTCTTATAGTTCTTTACTTTTTTACCTTTCCCGAGTGGTGTGTTGATAAAACTCTACAAGCTTCATGTTGTATATATTTAATTTAATATATATATATAAGAGATTTCCACGTATATAGTCACTCATCACGATATCTCTGGAACCATTAGAGCCAAAGACTTGAAATTTGGTAGGAATATTCTTTTCACTGAGTAGAGGTCAGCTAAGAACGGATTTTAATAAATTCAAAAAAAAAAAAAAAATGTAAATAGCAAAACAACGTTTGCAGGGTCAGCTAGTTTAATATACAAGTCGAACTAATAAGCTTGGCTGTTAGGATTTAACTTTACAGCATATAATGTTAAATTTTTTAAACATTCTTAACGAATTCTGCATATAAACTTAAAATATTTCAAAATTCTCATTTCTTTCTGTAAGCGTTTGTTTAGAAAATGTATACACAGAAGTTCTCACGTAATAATGCATAAATACTCAGCATACCATTTTACATGTAAGCAAGATTTCATACGATTTTTATGGGAATAATCCCTTACACACGCCCACTGCCGGAACTCCTGATTCAGTTGATCAACAGCAGTGACCCACAAACACACCGAGTTATGAAATATACACACGATACGATTGATGACAAACGTTCTAAAATAAATTAGGTAACTTCACTTCTTACCTGTTCTTTGTCTTCTTGAGATTTTGGCCACAGCGTCACGTTCAAGACAATTTCACCCATATCCTGGGTCGGTTTACTCGGGTCTCGAAGACATAGCACCAAATCCTGAGTTCGACCAAGCTCCAACGCCGTTAAGTCTAGTTGACAGGAGCCCATGAAGTCGTCTTGAAGACCCCAATCGTAGTCGAAGACCTGGAAGATTTGGGTGTATAAGCTTTTTTTTTCTTTAAAAAAAAGACAACTCCCGCACTATGAATAAACCCTGTGTCGTGGGGGACTTTACAAACATATATGAAACGGACACAAAGGACACCCAGACTCAAAACAGCAATGTGTGGATCACTCAAAGTGTTGTCTCATGTGGGGATTGAACCCACAACACTCAGCGTAGTAGGAAGCGGCGAGGAGACCGCTTAAACCACTACGCTACCCGTGCAGTACTACTACAACCAAGTGAACCGCTTCATCAGTTCTAGTACTCGTAGTAGTACTAGAATCTAGAGTTACTTTTGGACATGGGAGAGCTACATTTCGGCAAAAATGGACTGGCTCGCAAGTGAGTGTGTGTGAGGTTATCCGTGCCCAAACACCCATTCCGGAGGGAGGGAGGGAGGGGGGTCAAAGGGGTATAGGTGGCCATGGGCGGAGGTAGTTACTTATCATCAGGTGAACCGACAAATGAGCAGTCATTTGTCCTTCTACACCAGAAAAAAGCTCTGTTTACACTAAGCTAGGAAACATATGTTTCTGTTAAGACAGATTAAGAATACGGAGTGTCACCACCCCTATTCATCCCGTGGGTGTCGTAAAAGCCGACTAAGGGAGCAAACATACGCAAGACACAACAGGCACTGCAAAGAAAAGAAAAACATGAAACACTACTGAACTACTGAAGGCTGTTGATGATGTATCTAACGCGATTTACAAACTAATAAATAAAGAGCTTTACGTACTTTAAGTAGCTTTAAGTAGTAACAAAACTCCAAGCGAGGCATCGCTTAAAATATAATTTAAATCAAAGCCGTTCCCAACTTCGTAAATGCATTTAGATTCTTATTGATTTTAAAGACAATCAAGGCGTCTGCTCCGTCTACAAGTATAATGAGATAGACTAAATTGCTTTCAAACTCATCATGGGTTCTTCAATATTGAAAAGCTGTATGAAATGAATGAAGATGAATTGTTACGTGCAGTTTGTAGATAATATCAATCTTAACCACTCATGATCAAAGTTGTTTTTGGCTATCATTATTTATTAATAAGAAATTTTTACAATTATGCAACTATACTGTCTAAGTATGCTTATTTTACAGTTTTTATAGTTCACTTTTTAAATATTTTTTTATTGTAATAGGATGTTTTATGTATGTAGTTAAATATATTAGGTGCATCGTAGGGTTCTTTTATTTAGACCATAATGTTACAAGCTTAATAGTTTTAAGATGGACAATAAATCAAAGGGTACTATAATTGTTGTATTTAAACAACTTAAAATAAAACTATAAAAGAGGAAAGAAAAGCAAAGCATAATAGAGAAGAAACTTGTTAGAGTGAGTAAAAAAAGAAACTCATGAAAATTTCTATCTCATTTTATGTCGGCACGGCGCCAAAAAATTCATAAGCCGTTTCAAATCTATTAATCCTACAAAAAGAATAATCAAAATTGGACTGCAATGGAAATCATTGCGATTAGTCAACCACAGATAAATAGAGGAGGAGAAGGAGTTTTTAAATTATACACCTAAGATTGTCCTTCATTTCTTCGTCGGTTAAAAAATATTGACAAACTCAGTTGTCGAAAGAGAGAGAGTAGTTCAACTCTGTGTCTGTTTTGACTATGAAGTGGGAGAGTATTATTTGGGCACAAATGGGTCGGCTCGCCCGGAGTGGACATGGAAATTATTGCTACTTTTAAATCATCAACCCAAACTCAACTCTAAAAGGGACCAATATATGTAGATACTTAAACACAGAGGTGTAGATAACGGTAACCCATCTCAAAAAATACATTCTTTTGTTTGATATTCAAAAATGCCCTACGTTGTTTTCACTTCAAAAAACAGTGGCACTCCGGGACTGCCGATAGAAGTGAAAACTTATATACAGAAGTGTCGGTAACGGTAATAGTGTCGCGAATTCAATTGTTTTGTCCCATCTCAAAAAATGCTCAACGCGCCTAAAGCAGTTTACCCTTCAAAAAGTTTGTAAAGCAAAAAAGCGATTTACGTAAGTAATAAAGTACAAGATACTAATAGCATTGTAAGTATTTACCCTCTCTTTTTTAGGGTTTTGAAGAAAATGGCCTCACATACATACACCAATCTCAGGTGTTTTTAATTCGAAATGTAGAACAGTCTTGTCCTGACTTTAAACATCATTAATTTTATCGGTATACGTTCAAGGTTGAACCTAAATAATTTATCTTATGTATGACATGAGTAATATCGAATCTCCAAATACTCGTATAGTTTCCGGCTATATTTAAATAGAATGAATAATTCACTGCGGGCGTACCAAACCCGATTTCGCAGGCTTTATCACGTATTTATGAGAAATACGAGTTTCATGGGTATTTGCGAACAGTGAGCTGATGAAGCACGGACCCTTTCAAATTTGATGTGGTTTGATTTTTTTTATTAAAATGTAATTCTAAAACTGCCGTAACAATTATGATGGTCATCTAACATGAATGAACTTCGCATCATTCAGTCCAGCTCGTTGAAGACATCACTGACAGAGAACAACTGTATTATTTCTAGTTTAAACTGTAGTTTAAATTTCACTAAATATAAGTTACTAGCGACCCGCCCCGGCTTTGCAAGAGTGCAATGTATGACATCACTTTACAAATCTTTGCAATTCTCGGCTTTTGTCTAATAAAATATGCATGTACAAATTTCCAACCCTATTTCATATAACAATTTGACTTCAACACTTATATTTTTGAGTGTAGTTTCGAAAAATTAGTAACAAATTTTTTATTACTTTTGATAAAGAATATTTATTGAGTTTGTAAACGCTACTACCGAAAATAACGAAGTTTCATATTAATTTCCAACCCCCATTGTGCAAAATTTCATGCTTCTGGACTCAGTGGTTTCAGCTCTGCGTTAATCGATCAGTCCGTGAATTAGTCTGTCATTTTCTTCTTTTATAGATATATATTTTCTTAACTCGCAATATATTTTAGTAGTCTTCAGCGTTTTTAAATACTATCCAAAGTATCTGAACATTTATGAAGATTTGATGCTGAACTTTATGATGCTCTTGTTTCTAGAACACTTAATCTTAATCTGAGTGGGAGCTGCTACAGAATATTTTTAAATATAATACTCGTACCTAATCTTATATCTAATTTCTTATATTTTTAATAGTGATTTATATATTCAAGCTATTGTAGTGTAGATTGTTTTACTCTATCTTTATTGTACTATTATCAGCTAAATTTAAAAATACTATAACACTGAATATTACATCTTCAAACGATATGGCTTTTTTCAGAGACTATTTTAGACTAAAACATACCGCGTATCTTAATTGTAACTGAAGATGTAGAACATGAATGCCTTATAAATACTGTGTACAAGAGAAAATCGCTTTTAAGTTATTTGAGACGGGTAGAAGCAACGGGATTTACAACAAAATCCGTTCGGTAGAACGGCCAAACGGATTTAGAATAAATTTCATATGTTTTAATATATGGATATTTATTCACGATCGTAATCCTCTTAACATTAAACGTCTATTATGAACATCGGTAATCCAATACATTCTTGATATACACTTAATAAATAAAATAACAAATGCTATTGAACATAATAATCATGGAAGAGTCATGCATCGGCACATTTTCATCGAGTGAGTGAAATTAACGGAGGACAAACCTCCCTTTCCCCTGGTTTTGGGGAGGGTTGGAGCGGACGACTTAAAAGGCGGCAACGCCTTTATGACTCTTGAGCTGCAGGTGTCCATGGACGGATGAAAGCGAGTTTGCTTGTTTGTTTGTTACGCTTTCAGCCTAAGCCACTAAACCGATTTTAAAAATTCTGTTACCAATAGAAAGCTACATTATCAGTGAGTAACAAAGGCTATTTTTTTACCGCGATAACTGACATACACGCGGGCGGAGCAGCAGGAAAAAGCTATAGTATAAATATTTTTGACATACCTTTAATTGAACAGGTTGAAATGGATCTTCGACAGGAACAGTAAAACATTCATCCCAAACTGGATTGAGGTCTCTATAGACTATTCTGGACTTGTGCAGCAATCTCCCGCCAGATTTGAACTTCACGTATGGATCACTCGTGCCTGACAACAAACCTGGTTTTGGACCCCACAAAACACTACAGTTAGAAGACGAAAAAGCAAAAATAAATTAATAAAGTAAGCTAAGGGACAACTACGTAATATACGAGTACTTCAAATACATGAATTTAAATGTAACTGTCAATTTCTTACAATTTTGAGGTTAAGTGTTAACTATTTCGATTATGAATTGTTATTTTTTTACATACGGCTTTAATTATATGATACCCATTAAATAACACCAATAAATAAAGAAGAATCGATACCAATAATAATTGTTCTCAAACTCTTAGTGAGTAGTCACTCCCTTAATTTTAACGATTAAAATCTAAACTGACAGTTAATTATTAATTATAATCTTATAGCTGTAAAGTTAAATTTGGCTGAAAATTTGATCATTATATTTTTCACCAATACATGTCAATTGAATAAAGCACATTATTGGGATTGAACGGTCTAAAAAAATCCAAATGTTGACCATCCTATTTTAGTATACTTCTGGATCTTAAATTCAGTTATCTGTGCTTTTATAATGAACATTAAAAAACGTGATCAATGATTCACATTTAGTAAAATTTTCGATAAAGGATTCCTTATAGTATTTTTTTTGTTTAAAAAAAAAAGAAAATATTAATAATAGGTGAACTAGAGGTGCATAGAAGAACAAAAGCAAAAGCAGTATTTGCAGAAAATAAACAGAATTAAACATGCAAAATAACAATAAATTATAATGTCTATATCGTGTTTTGTGCGAGGGTGAAGTTAGTTACATAATAATATTTAAGTTATACATATAGCGAAATACAAAGATCTCACGGCAATTCAACAACATTAAGATTTAGGAGTCGGTTACAAAAACCTAGTAAAACAGCATTTATCCGGAAAAGTTACACTCGAAAACACTAATATTCTGAACCTGAATATCTTAAACGGATACTGAATTTTATGTGTATTGTTCTCGAAGCATCAAGAGTATGAATAATGAAAGAGGTATTTATAAAGAGGATTAAAGATTACTTTTTTAGTCGCAGATTTCAGTAAAACGCTGTGAATATTTCATATGCAAAATGAAAGCAAGTGTCTCATTAGAATTATTGCATTAAAAATTAGTAGTGTGGCTTGCTGTGCTTAGTCAAATTATAATGTCAGTGTGGTGAAATTGTTCAAAAGTTAACTAAGTCCCTTCCTATTGTATTATTTCCTTTAAGAGAAACAAGGACAGCATCAAACTCGACTTTAAAACCACCCTTTTATAAATTGCTTAAATCTAAATCTAATTGCCCCTTTATTGTAATTGTTAAGATGGCAAAATTTTATGCCAGAGCCACCAAAGAGACCTCAATTGACACACTTTGACTACACAATTTAAACACTGTGGTACATTGTTTAGGCAATTTTGACACCTCTGCATCTGACCACCTTGTAAATCGAGATTTTTATGAGATGTTTCTTATCTTAGGGTGAGTTGTAGTGCTTGCGTGATTTTAGAGCGCGATTTTAATACAGTATAGGTAAGCATTAATTTGTATTTGTAGTGCTGCATTTATGCTGGTGTGTAGAATTGAAATAGCTTCAAAGAATAGAGGATAAGGTTGGTAATGCATAAAAATACCATTAATGAGTGGTTACAGAACTGTTTACTATTAGACTTAGATTTAACTTGGCATTTAGGAGAACTAATCTAACCTGGCACCTCCCTCAAATGGATACGAATAAAACTACATGAATATGAAAAAGAAGAAGAAAAGATCTATCACACTGTAATCTTGCAAATAGATGAACGAGCTCAGAAACTCATAAAGTCATAAGAAAATACATGATTGGTGATAATTTTGTGGTGGAGGATTGTTTAAACTGAAACCTGAATCCTGTACTAAAGATAAATTAATTAGAGACAGAGCAAGCATCGGAAAATGCTGGAAATGGCCCTTTGAAAGAAGAGCTCAAAGAAACATCCCGACAACAAAATAATCAATTTTTCAGGAAAGTTAAAAATCCTAAACATGTTGCATTTAGACAGAAGTCGATCATTGCGATAAAGCAGTTGTAAATGTCATGGTGGAAATGTGAAAGTGATAGTGTAAACTCACCATTTTTATCCATAGCGACCAAGTTCTGGCCTCTCTTCAAATGTATTCGTAATTGGAAGAATGAATATTGTCGTAAATGTTGTTCTCGTAGTCTTTGACCTTCGTCAGGTTCCTGGAAAGCAAAAAAAAACATGCTCATCAAATATTCTGTTAATTAACATAAAAAGCATATTTTTATGGTAAGAGGGCAAACGAGCAGATGGGTCACCTGATGGTGAATCCCTGTTCCCACATATCCCAAAGTGCCTGCTTGACGCCAATAGACTTGCCCCGTATTACATAATTGGGACTACAATTTTATTTGGCAAAATGGAGGCGTACTACGCCTTTGTCTCCCCCCTTCGGGTATATTGACCTGAATGTATGTATTTTATTATTTAAAATAAGCTTTTTTTTCTGCGATGGATATTTGACAACATAGGCAGGTTACGTATTGGTAAATTTGAATTTTAAGTAGAACGCTTAAGTACCGTTCGCCACGCAAGCGGAACTCGTAAATCGGGCAAGTATACTTTATTTATTATTATGATGATAGTGATGATTGTATTTTACGTAATAAACTTTTAATACAAAAAAGACTATTAATGGGTATATGGTAAAATTGTGGGTTGGCTTTGTACAATATGTTAGCTTGGATATGAACAGAAGAAAATGAAACTAAATACAAACTGTTTTGAGTTTAAAAATATACAAAATATAAAGGGTTAATAGAAAACGTATATTCTATTCTTTACATTTACAAAAAACAAAATGAAATTCCGCCAGCGATAGGAAGCAATTACTGAGTCGCACTGAGGGCCACGGCCCATAGATTATGCATTAACGAATAAACATAATAAAATTAAATAGATAAATTACACTAAACCACCAAGGATCTAATGGTGATCCTCAACAATATTAGCTGGTATCCAAATATAATGCCAGTGCAGATTTAAATCAACGCGAGAATCTATTACACAAATAAAAATATTAATAAGTTTAGACAAATCGTTGCTAATAAGTTTAGTACAGGCGCTTTTTCTTTGTATTGCTAAACTGTTTTGATAAGGCGTCCAAGTCAAGATTAGATTAAAGGGTATTTATCTTATTGGTACGAAGTGCCTTATCGCATGTTACACACTCAAGCAGATGGGCGCGAGACCGAAAAATGTGTACCAAGACTTTATTCCGATACTTCAGTTTTCGCGTGAACGCTGTGAGCGTTCACGCGAAAACTGAAATCTTTTTCATATTTCATATATCAAACGTTTACTAAAGAGCGAAAAGAACTTCGTTCCGACCAGGGGTTCATAGACCCCTCACACCGTGCCAAAAACCAGGGCCTGACAGAAAACCGGTGTTAAACAACTCTTTCTTTGCCTCCTCATTCCGGAGAGAGTGACTTAAAAGGTGGCAACGCCCTTATGATTCTTGAGTTACATAACTTGCAAATGTCCATCATGGGCGACGTTTAAAATAACTATATTTATAATATCAGTTAGTATATACCCGAATAAATATAATATTAGATCTGCCTAATTCATTAGGAATTGAGTTATTACCTCAATTCAACGACTTCGGTTCCTTAGAGAACAAAGTCTTAAAGTTTGTCAATAAATAATTGACTCTGCCGTACCCGTATCTTTTCTAACTTCGATGTCATAACACTTGTTTATTGTTGTTATTCGCTTTTTCATTCGTAGTAAATATTAAAAATGTAAAGGAATACGAACGTCTAATATTTTATGAGCCTGATGTTTTTGTTTTGTTCTCGAAAAATGGAAAGATAAGTTCTCACCAATACCTTCTAAAACTAATGGAAAAAAATTGGTGAAATTGCTAAATTGGTTGAAGAGCTGCCACGAGCCACAATCGATAACTCCCACATCTGGACAAATATATAGTTAAGAAACTTCTTTCCGCACTCAATAATTTGGTATACGTTTTCTTTGGCTTTTTGTAAGGATATTTATAAAATTTACTTTAAATTATAATATATAATAAAAAGCTTGTGGTTATTTCCTTTTTATTGTCGATTTGTAATGAATAGCTTTATAAGTAAACTTACTAATTGCAGTAATTCAGGAGGTGGGCGCGGGTAATGCGCAGGAGTTCCTGAAGTGGATGGCGCTGGATCTGTAGACACTTGTCGCGTCACAGAATCTGTGGACAAGAAAAAAAAACCTTAGTTAAATAACTAACTTGGGGTTTATTTTAACACTACTGACCACATTTTCAAACATAAATACTTAGCTAAGACCCACGTCAGTTAAAGCAGTGTCCGAAAACCAAATCCAATCTGTTTAGAAGCTATAGTACGTTAAACGCACATAGATGTATTTTACGGTAGATAATAGTCATAAATAAATAGATTTATTATTATTGTTTTGGATTTCAGGACAATAGGACAAATTAAGTGATGTCATTTTATTTCACAACCTAAGAATCCTATCTTCCTACCCATCCTAACACTTACCATCACGCTTCCGGAAGAAGCGCATTCTTCGCCACTTCCTCACTGCGTTTTTAAGTGTCTTCATCAGCACACAGTTGAGGAAGGCCGTTGCTATTCGCCGCCGCCATATTGTGCACATCTATCTATTATTGTCTATTGTTTTATTGTCTCTGGTGGCCATTAGTTTGGTTTGGTTCAATGGTATTCGTCTTTGTAAACTGTACGGTAGAAATTTCAAATAGTGAAAATCTTAAAATAGAAAGTAAAGTAAAAACTAAATTTTTCACTTTCGGTTTGACAACAGATAAACTCCAAAAAAAATTAAATCTACGTAAGTTGTACATAAGTAAATTTCGCGGATATAGGATTTTGAAATTTTTAGTAACCAAAGTATATCAATAGAGGTATACTTTGGAAGAGCGGAAGTGCCATCATTACAGGGAATATAATAATATTATACATTTATCATGGTGGATCTGTCATGGCACAGAACGTCTATAAAGTGTAGCAAGACATATCTTCAAAGAGTAGTCATAATTTAACATAAGGCAATTTCGAGAAGGAAACCCTTTTCAAAGATGTTTGTGTTGTTGATGTTTTTATTAAGATATTTATAAGGATACCCGGCCCTGGCCATCCTGGATGTTGTATTTATGAATCATAAGACGAAAAAAACATTTCATCAATTCAAAGAATGAGAAGAACATTATTCTAAGGAACCTTAAGATGCCTACTGTCACTATTTTGTTTATGAATAGTTTTGTTTTTCTTTTATATTTCTATTGCCCAATATATTTTTCTGTCTTAATGGCCTATCTAACTCTCTTATTCCTATTTCCTTATCCGAAACATTTTGATGAATATATTTTGCTTTATGTTTAATTTCAAAAAATATATTCAAAGTTATACTTAAAATGGACTAACTTCTAAACTCTCGCGAGCACTGATGTATGTTTAATACGTGCAGGAAATAACACTATCACGTAATCAGTATAACATACAATTTTATCGTCTGAAATTTCGATTTAGACAGTCTGTGCAACCTGGAATTGACCTTCTGGCCTAAATGCAAGGCAATTCAAATTCAAAAATAATATATACTCTGAAATTATCCAAGATAATTCCCACAATGTATTTATCAGTGCTTGGTTTTAACCGCCAACTCAGGAAGTAACGATAACTGGAGCAGATAGGAAGCCTGTTGTTGCAACACATGAAGGTTAAATAATTAAACTGGCGATTTAAAATAACTAGTTACTATGTAGTGATTTATATCAAAATATTTTGATGTTATATTTTGCATTTTAAAATTCATCTTTACACTTTCTTGTACTCGTAAGTTGTAAAAGTACAAGTATGTATGCCGTTATTAATATTTTTTAGGTTAGTATAATTGTTTTATATTAAAAAATATTTTTACCCGACTGTTATGAATACTTTTCTTTAGTAAAAACTTTTTGGGCAAAATTCATTAACTAAACTTAATTAAGACGGGGTGAGTATTCGTAGCATATGCGCCTCTCAAAATGTTTTAGTTTAGTAACGGTCCCGCGTTAGCATATAAACTCTACTGATATATTATAGTACCGTTATATATTTCTCACACTTGATGCAACATTGGATTAAAGCCAAATAGGTCAAGGTTTTGTTTTAAAGTAGAAAATTCAATTTTTTAAAATATTTTCTGAGAAATAAGATTGCTTTTTGCTGCTTGGCACGAGGATACGGTCCGCCTGTTAGTTTACTTATAGTTATTTTATGACCTCTGTAGGGGTTACGAATTTGATTCCTGGTTCAGCGAAAGTCTTTGTACGCATGAATAGCAGTAATGTTACCAGAAATCAACCACGTATTGATAATAGTTAGTTAGGGTCTCAATAACGACGTGTACATGACTATCGATTTAAAAAAAGACTTTTATTTTGATTAAGTACAATAAATTGTCGTGTTTCATAATGTTCAGTTTATACATAGACCTATTTCTTAGCTTTCTATGGATGATGGGGGCAACGCACGCGACTTCGACAGCGCCGGGAATTTCGACCCAGGAATAGGTGTTGGGAGTACTCTTTAGCGCTTACCTCCACTGTCTGCTGTGTTACCCCCTCTACCTAACCATATTTGATACGAGCTCGCTCTCACTTCTACGGCATACAACGCAACGAAATAACCATTTTTAGTTATTTCGTTGGTTAAGTCAAAGTACTTGTTTCTTTTTAAAGCGCTGTCTTTAGGGATGTTCGTTTCCCACGGTAACGTAAGTTCTACTAGTACTACACGCTTAATTGACATTTCATAAATAAATATGTGTGGTCTGGACGTCGAGGCACGGATATTAAAAAAATACACGTTAATTTTTTCATTTTAATCGCCGATGTAAGTTAAATATAATAACTATTAATCGCGTTAATTAAAAAATAATAATGGCAAATACTTTTGTCATGAAAATATCATGTGTTCCAATGAACCATAAGCGTAGGCGTGCTATGACATAAGAATGGCTGCAAAGCGGTTTTCGATTACGTAATATCATAAGTGGTAGTAATCTAATTAAATTGAATTAATCATTCAGTCAACAGATGTTCTGACATCAAGGTACTTAGACTATTTGAAATGGTAGTCTTGTACAATGCGGCCACACGAAATTAAATGCAGAGCGTGAATCAATTTAAGATCATATAAGTATGCCTTTAGTAGATCACTATGCTAAACTGATAATATCACCTATTTATTAAGTGCTGAAGACAGTTTCCTTACTAGTCATTCCAACCTAATCCATTAAGCATATATATAAATTTTAGACAGTCGAGAAATATTTTAAGGATTAAGAACTCATTTTTATAATGAAATAATATTCCGCTGAGACAACTGAATTCTGTTCATCGAATTATTTTTTTATAGAGTTTTACCTCAGGATTGAATACGAGGCCATCACAATAACTTAAATAACTTTAACAAAAAATAGCACAAAGCAAATCCGAAAAAAAAAACAAAACGAAGTTATGAGAAATTATTTTGAAAAGGTTTTCTTTTTCTACTTCTGTCAACTGTATAAGGAAATTTATAGATTTTTATTTTTTAAAAAATCAGTACACTGTGGGAGTGCCATGTTTCGGCACAAATGGGCCTGCTCGACGGGAGTGATACAGCTTCACAGAAACCCGTTGCTAGCTCGAGCGAGTAAGAAGAACGTAAGAATTGTAACCAATTCTTTCGTTGTTCTTCACAATGTGAGTGAATTTTTTGGCCTAATGAGTGAGGCTACCGGAGTGGAGAGAATATTTTATTTATTTATTTACAACTTTATGCACTTATGTACAACGGCGGGCTTAATGCCTAAGGCATTCTCTACCAGCTAACCTTTGGGGGGTGTAGAAATCTGGTGAGGTAATATCCATATATTCAAAGATTCATTATATATCGATACATGAATATATAGTATGTAACTATCGGCGCCCGTGGGGGCGTCTATAGTTATTTACATGCAGGTGACCTTTCTTCTCGTTTGTTTCCCTATAGCATGATGGAAAATATTAAGAATGAAGAAGCTGCTCATTGCTGTTGCATGCCTTATATTACATTCCAAACCGATAAATCTTCATACAATGTAACCGTGCAACCGTAGAATGATTAAATAATCCTACCTGTAGCATCAAATTACGAAGAAAATATGTCTAGGTTTGTGCTTTTAGTACTGAAGAAGCCATTCAAGTGTATGAAAAGCCTTCATAGAGAGAAACTCCTATAGTATTAGGTATTTTCGGGAAGTGATTTAAAATTGACATGCACGATTCCTTGAACTCATAAAATATAATATGCTTTTTGTAAAAAAGTACCTAAAGAGACCAGAAACTTAAATAAAATAAAAGAAGAATAAAAAAGTTTAACGTCGTGCAACTGTAATGGAGTACATTATTTAAAACATAATTAAAAAGCAAAAAATGAAATAAAACAATTTGCAGAAAATGTATTTCATATTGTTTTATAAAACTGGCGCCTGGCCATCACACCTTTCCGCGAACAAAGCTTTTCCCTTGATTACATTTTAACTGTACAGAACCATGACAGAAGTACAAAACTGTCCAGAATAAAAATAAATCTAAAATAAAGAAACTGCTTTTAGTTTTCTTTTGTCAACAAAGAAAGACCAATGGGAAATAAAAACTTTATATATACTCGTAGAATATACGATATACATTTTTATAGAGAATTTATTGAGCTAAGCATTTTCATAGCGTGATAACGGCATTTTTAAGTTATTGGTTTTCGCCTCTTTTTTAATTCTGGACTAAAAACTTCCCAAATGTTTGAAATTTCTATTATTACAAGTATTAAATACATATTACGCTTAAATCCCAAAGGTGTACGCAGAGATGTATTAAGCGCCTATATAATTTTATTTCCACTTACATCATGGGTGTATACCTGTTCCCGTCATCCGCGCACTTTAGTAATTAGACGGGAAAATTGGGTTTTCAATATAAAGAAGTCTGTAAGATGGGCAAACAATTGTGGAAAGACATGTTACTTTTAGGTGTGGTGGTAAAAGGTAGATAGCTCATTAGAGATACCTGGCGCCCGTCCAGCACCGTCTCATGTAATATACTGAATTCAATTTGTTAACTGAATTCTTTGATTACATTTTTATGAAGCTATAATTATTGTCATTCATGTAAAGGGTTCGAGGGTTCATGTAAAGGCAAGCTCATTCTTAAACCAGCGGGTACCATTTTTTATAACTGAGTTATCAAAAATGCACACAGCTGAAAAAAGCGGTAAATGGATCAGGTTGCCTATGAACACTGAGACATGATTTCGGCACTTATGCTTTTTTAATCCTTTTTATTAATTAGCTCCTAGAAGAAAAAACAGTATGACAACAATTAGTCTTGTTAACCACAGGTTTTATATGTACTTTTCTATACTAACGTTTTCTATACCTCATAAAGTTTATGTATTGAGTACAAAATTCATATAAAGAAAGTTAAAAATAGTATAAAATGTAATTTCCTTAAACGAAATACAATTTGTTCGTCAATATTTATTGAAGATCGGTCTTTAACATTTTTGTATATTAATGTAGAGCAAGCCACATTTGTTTTAAAAAGCGATTAAATGTGTACACAATGAAAATAGATG